AGGGATGGCGCGGGCTCCGTGTCGTGCAGACTGACGTTCCCGCTTGGTGAAGGGAAGGGCAGCGGGCACGTTAACAGTAAAAAGCCGAAACAATTTGTCCTTGAGGGTGGTGTTTTGTTATGGCTATTTCTGTAATACCACAAACGAAAGTATTGCAACTGCATCCTATCAAACGCCCCCCATCCTCCACTCCTGGCTCGCCAGACAGAAGAAGGAATAATTTAATGTGGTTTTAATAGTTGCCATCCTCCCCCCCGAGTCTGACTAAGCAGGAAGGTCAGTTTTCAGACACGAGAGCCCTCACAGAATGTCAGATACGACATATGGCACAAACTCGATGTATCTTCTTTACATGTCTTGGAACAGCAAGAGACCCATCAAGAAGGCACTGTTTACAATACTGGAATACCTGCTAAATTTTCTGATTTGAGGATACCCTTGAAATAACAATAATTAAAACTTAGAGATGAGCATAATCCATTATATGTTATTTACAAAACCAGTGGTAAAGTAATAGCCTTTAAGAAACTATACAAAACACTGAATGCAAACTGTTTCATACACACCAGTCTAGCAAAGAAAAAGGTAATTTGCCAAAGGCACAGGAGGGCAGCAAACAACAAATAGAAAGAGGAAGAACCCACCATCGTTACATTTTCTCGGACGACCTTTCAAATGATTTATGAGATTTAGTTGGGGGTGCCAGGTGGGGACACAACCAGGCTATACCCTCATTTATGTATTGTTAGTTATTTAAAAGGAATCAACATGTGAAACGCAGAACATCATCTGCTGCTGAAACTGATCCTTGCTACTTTTCACGTGGCATATTTGCTTTTTCTTACCTTAGGTCACCTCTACCTAACTAAGCAATCTGTACCTAAATGGCAAATTAAAGGCTTAGGGTGCATTTGAAAAAAAACCCAACAAACAAACCAGACTCCGCAAAAGCACATGGCAACAAGTTCTGAAAGTATTTCCTGTACAAGAAAAAACCCAAACAAGTGTGAAAACAAGTGCTGTTTTAGACTTCAAAAACTAGGAGGAGGTCACAGCCCTCACACATCTGCAAACTGTACAACCCATTTTTATAATCATGTGCAGAGCTCAGTCTTCAGGTACATAATAGTCAAGATTGGCCACACATCGTGGTTAAACAGGAGAATGGTGATGTGCTAAGGAAAAGGCTTCATACATGCCTGTGACAAAGCTGTACTGTAAAAATCAGGCAAGAGATTTCTTTGTTCTGTTCACATGGGGGAACATCACACAAACCCCAGCAAAACAGGAATTACTAAGATTTTGATGCACTCTCCAGAATATTGGTTATCTAATCATACAGTCAAGCAGAGGTCTGCAATGTTACTTTTCCAGAAGTTTCATCATATATCTTTTGCTTTCCTGGATCATCACTAAAACAGCTTTTACAACAGAAATAAACTCTAAAAAAATAAGTTGAAAATAAGCACAGGCATTTTGTCTTGCTTTGTTCAAGTGTCTTGCTTATCTTGAACTGAACATGGATTTCAGATATAGAGTATCTATTTAGTCTGACACTGTCCAGCACTATGCTGCCAGCCAGCTGGCTGAGGCAAATCCAGAGTTACTACCATGCAGTCTGTGTAAAAATACATGCAGACTGTGTTATTAAGTGATCTTGAACAGAAGTGACTAAAAAATCAACATGAAAAGGCAGGACATTTCTATTTACAAGGGAGATAAAAGCTTTTAACTATCAGTCATGAGTTTCAGCACCACAAATGAAGCAGAGTATTATTTTAGGGGATTGAAATTATTGCCCAAATTCTCACTCATTTTCTCTTGTATTCTCGTACAGAGTATGGTTAAAGGCTTGTTGTAATGGATCTTAAGACAGGTGAAGCTTTGACATCTGAACGTGATAATGAATGGCCAAATTCCAGGCTGAGAATTCTGTACTATTCTGCCTTCTTTATGCCATTTTGTACATGGCTGATGACTTCAGTTTCTATTCAGAGACTTAGGGACTTTGTACATTCATAAATTTTACCTCACCAGCTGTAGATATAATCCAGATAGAGAGAAGTCCAATCAAGTTTGGTCTTGCCCACGTATACAAGATCACTCTGGTTAAGGTGCCACAAGGCAGAAAATTACTCAAGACCAAACTATGCAAATATGCAGCTGTAACAAGAAACATTTTTTGTAGCTGAGACCCAAACAAGGGGAAAGTTAAAAGAGAGGGGAGGTGTGTGAAGGTATCAACCACAGTGATAGATGAGCTAGATGTATAAACAACTAAATAGTATTTTCACTATATACTAGCAAGACTGATGCAGAAGAGAGAGTTAGGGAGGCTACCCAAGGCAGAGGGATAACCAGGCCTTGGCAAAATGCCAGACGTGGCCCCTGAACTGTTCCACTGCCTGGGATGGATTTGATTTCTGAGCGGATCTTCAGAAAACAAACTTGGCTGCCCTTTGCATTGTGCCGCCTGTCCTCCTGTTGCCTCATCTGGGTTACTGAGAGTACCTCTACAATACTACAGCCCCTTTTGACAGGGTATGCTTGACTGGCATAAGGAACTGACCAGGTAAACACTGGCACTAATTTTTTTTGCCAGAATTGTACAAGTTCTATACATGCGTATATTTCTTCAAATAAAAATGTTAGAAACCCTGGTTTTAAATTGAAACTTGAGCTTCACATTAATATGTATAGCTACAGCATAATGAATAGGTGCATCTGTGTGTTCTGCTAGGTAGTATACACTGCAGTAAGGAGGCATTTAACAAAGACTTAGGGTTTCACTCTCATTTGCTTTGATATGTGTGTTGTCAGCCATCCACAATTTCTGAAGACTTTCCCCTTGTAAATGCACACGGTTTCATTTGCAAGTGAACTCATGACAGCGCCCAAATTCTGTTCTACATCGTCTGCCTTTTGGGAGGTTCGGCTCTAGCGAGACACCAAGCACACGTCTGCATCTTCACATTTTGTTTCAAATACAAGAGAGTCCTGCAGTCAAGTCTGTCTGCTTACTGTGACATGGCTGCACACAAATGTAAATTCAAAGCTGTAGATCTATCAAGACTTACAAACATACCGTAAATCCTTGACATTTACAACATGTGAGAGAGTGGACTACGACAGTACCTTCCTGGGTGCTGCACTGTTAAAAAGGTGCTCTGTACAGTAGATGCAGGAATGTTTTTGTGAAGAATCTGAAATTTTAAAACTATAAAAATAAAACAGCTGGCTTACATGCCACTGTAGTAATAATTCAGGATAAAAACTCATACTTCCAAAACAAATCAAGGACATTACACTGCAGAATTCCCAAAGACTTCAGCTTTTTGCCAGTTCCTAATGCTCGTGATCTTTGTATAATAATGTATTTGACCTTACACAAAAGTTTACTTCCAAACACTCAATGCCATTTACAAAAACTGTTGGCTACTTCAAAAGTTCCTTCATTACAAAAATGGGAAGTTTAAATGTAACAAAGTATGCTTGTTTGTCATTCAACCATAACAGGAATTGCATCCTACCTACAGGGTCTGACCTCTGAATTCTTAACTTCATCTAGTATGTGGTGAAGATTCATCGGTACAGCGTATGACGTAATAGAAAACACAAGGCTGATGTCATATGTCTGTGAGACAGAGGCACACACCAGGAGCAAGAGTGTACTGGCACTTACACAATTCTTACTTCAACTGGGTAGACGGGAGTATGATTCTGAACCATGGATGCTGAGGCAAAGTTCTGTAAGCTGTTGCTACAGGGCTCTTTTAGATAATATTGCATCATTTAAAGTGTGACTTAAAATATGGTCCCCAGTAACAGTTTGATCATTCCAGTTCAGAAAGGCCCTTGTTCACATTTCCTATTTGAACAAGAAATTAATGGTAAGCTGTAGCAGAACCACGAGTGAAATGAAGACATAGTGCTTAAACTGCAAGAAATGGTAGTCCACAGGTGGTGCATTAGAAGCGACTCTGTTTCGCAGAGCCATAATGTCCCTGTAAAACAAAAAATAATATCCTGTAAATTACATTCTAGACAATTTGGCATTTTCTAGTGTGTTAGGGCTCCCTAGAGAAGATGGTTTTTGAGGAAAATTCTGAAACATCAATGAGCAATAAACATTTGGGAAAGAGGGTAGTTTAAAGGCATCAAGATTCTAAAGCAGAAAGATACATCCCAGCCTCCAAGGAAGAAAAGCTAGAAAATTAGTATGTTCTAAGCCATTTTAAAGTGTTTAATTTAGTACTACCTCTTAATTTCTTCTTGTGTTTCCTTTATAGATTCAATGGCACTCTGCAGTTCACCAAGATCTGCCCCTTTTTTTCTTATTCTTGTATTATGCTTCAGAAGTTGTGCTAAAAAGACACAAAAGCCAGATGTAATTCAGAGGTGACTGCTAAGTCAAAAAAGGAACAAAGTATCAACGACAAACTAAACCAGTTGCAAAAATGAGAATAAACTTTTCTAACTAAGCTTCTATTGAAAACTAAAGCTTTATTTCAGTTACCTATAGCACAGAAGGACAGCAAGTTAAGCACTTGAAGCATCTTAAACCACTGTGTTTTGAGCACAGTGAATTCCAACACTCATAAAAATCTACCTTGTAGCAACACACCGATCTACAAATTGAAACAATTCATCCTGATTTAAGAAAGAAAAGAGTTTACAAACACATTCCTTCCACCACCACCACTTATGTGCAGCGCTTAAGCCTACCTATGCTACATACTGATGTTTAAAAGGACAGGAAAGTTTGCAATTAACACCATGAGCTCAGCCTTCCCGCTCCTTTTGTTTTTCCAGGATGTGCTTCACATTGGACAGAACTATGATCTAAAACATACATTATTTTATAATACAAATACCAAGATAAGAAGTGTAGGTGTGACTACAAAACTCTTGTCAGACAAATTTATTAATTATGTATGTAAATGCATCTTGTCCTACCTTCACTCCCAGAGGAATCCTGGTTATCAGGCTCCGGGGATGAGAAACCACACTCTCCTTTCTTCTGGCCGGCTGGCTTTCGTTTGATTTTTGGAACACTAACCTACAATTAATAAACTTACAAATTATTTCCAGAGAACCAGCACTGTAGCAAAGCAGCACATTCTAATTGTAATAGTTAAAAGCAACTAATACCTAACAGAAGCCCAAGTTAAAATTTTGGATGTATGAGCAGTCTGAAGTTTGTGCATCTTCCCATTTAAGGAAAATATACATTAAACTGTTGAGTTCAAATGTGGTTATTTTATATGCCTACCCAGTCAAGTAATTTCTACCACTTAGGACGCAACACAGAAGTTAAAGAACGTGGACTGGATAAACTACATTTTTGTAGGATCACAACAGCATTTCCCATTGCTCCCAATGCTTTGATGACCTTTACACACATAATGCAATATATACAAGTCCCTGGATCTTGCTGCACACACTAAAAGACCTGAAACATACCATTGGTGTCCGATGTCGAACTTTTGTTTGGATGGTGCCATCTTTTTCAAATTGGATCATATCATTCAAAGGGTCCCATGGTCTGGTACTAGACAAGGTGAATATAACTGATTAATACCACAGCAATTTAAATAAGAAATATTTTCCTTCTCAGAAGCTACTCAGTATGAACAGGTTGCCCAGGGAAGCTGTGAAAGCTCCAATCCTGGAGGTGTTCAAGGCCAGGCTGGACAGAGCCTTGGATGACACAGTTTAGTGTGTGGTGTCCCTGCTCATGGCAGGGGGGTTGGAATTAGATGATCTTAAGGTCCTTTCCAACCCTAACTATTCTATGATTCTATGAATAAGTGATCTTCCATCTATAGCCCAGTTCTAACCTGAAGAGTCAAGAAAGTAAAAAAAAAAAAATAAATAAGCTTTACATCCAGGTCAAACTCTCAGCCAGCTGGTAAAAGTAAACTATTGAATGAACCAACAATATCATTCTGAATTTATCTGGCTAGAGATATGTATTTGTCAAACGTGGAGAGGTTTTCTGCTTAAAAAAGAAGAAAAGAAAAATAGAGAAAAGTAAATCCTCTGATTAATGTACAGTTATTACTTTAGAATTACAGGGAAATAGGGGGATTAAAAAAATTATTGTTATTTTGGACTGCTTTTATGTTTTCTTTTTTTTTAGATGATGCCTGGGAAGGAGAGGTTAAGAATCAGTCACCTCAAACCTGTTTTCATCCCGAAGTGGCTAATCTTAATCAAGACCGGTTTCAAGAGGCACTATGAGCTACGTACAGTTTTCTTGTTCTGATTTTCCAAGAATGCTTTTCCAAGTGCAGGTTGATAGAGAACTAAAACAACATACATACAATTACGTGAACACACGCAGCTCACTGGAGAACAAGCAGCTGCCAAAGGCAAAGACCGACATTCCCACTAATTACAGCCTTTCCAGGATAGAAACAGCAAGCCAGCTGCATGAAGATCATTCTGATGCACAGCTTTGGTGAGAGGAGGTTAAGCATGGACTTCCTTTCATCTCCTGTATGCCTTTTAAAATGTTTGTAGCTGGTTTAGATGCTGTGAACATCTTAGCTTAACCTGACAAATTAAGTATCATCTGAGGCAACTGGGTTCAAAACTAGGCAATGCTCTCCCAAAGGTCTTTTTTATCTGTAATCCAGATGCCTAAATCCATAATCCAGATACTTTAATAAATGCAACAGCTCACTGAATGCATCTTTCACAGTAAGTGTGAAAGACAGCTCTCTACATGGTCCAGGTGGTAAGCCAGCATTATATGTGTAGAACGAGGCAGCAGTTTCTTCTGGAGACTGCTGACAGTACAGACTGCTTTCTATCACACGGTAGAATTTCCATGGCGCATCCTTGAACTGGAAGGCCTCAAGGAGACAAGAAATAATGCAGAGTAACAAAACAGACTATCTCCTGCAGCTTTAAGACCTAACATATCTAAAGTGCAGTACTTTTCCTGATAGTTTGACACAGGGTTCAACAGTATGGGCAGTCAGTTCAGCTGGACTGTTCACAACTCTTCCAACAGGAACAGGCATAGAATCATAGAATAGTTAGGGTTGGAAGGACCTTAAGATCATCTAGTTCCAACCCCCCTGCCATGAGCAGGGACACCACACACTAAACTGGTTCATCCAAGGCTCTGTCCAGCCTGGCCTTAAACGCCTCCAGGATTGGAGCATTCACAACTTCCTTGGGCAACCTATTCCAGTGCCTCACCAAACAGTACTAGAAGGTTCAAACCAAGAGAGGGTGTTTCACAGGGCATTTAGTCTAGTTGGGGAATTCCCTGCTGCAGTACGTTTTGGGTGGTAAAGGGCTAGGATCCAAGCTGACTTTAGCAAGCATTAGCAAGAACAGAGAATGCATCCCAGCAGTCAGGGAGACAGTGACATCCTCATCTTCTCACCCAGATCATCACACAAAGAGATCCACAGACACTCACATGTGCAGTCCACATCTGACAGCTGATCAGAACCACCTGGTGCCAGCATTAAAATTGCTGTAAACCTGTTATTCTCAGAGTTGCTCTAACACATAACAAATTAAATAGCTCAGTTCAACTAAGCGTAGGCTTTTCTGATTTCCAGACACTAGATTTTCTGACTTCCAGTTGGTATGCCTATACATACTATATTTTCCAGTTGGGAAAATCTGTGTAGCTGCTCTGGTCAGTCTGGAAGAGGGGGAGAAATGAGCACAAGACATCATCCCAAAGTGCCATGCCCAAGAAACTCTAGAACATAGCATGGATTTGTAGAGGCACATAAAGATAAAAAAATAAAAAGCCCATTGCAATGGTTACATGAAAACTGGTTTGCTGCATTAGCAATCCCTGCCTTCTCAACATTAAAAGGGCCAAGTTCAGCTAAAAAATTATGCATTTTAATCAAATAAAGAATATCAAGTAGCACTGCATATTTCATGAGTTTGAACTGAGCTGAATATCCAAGTTCTTTTGCTCCTGAAACCACAGGAAGAGGCTCAGCAACACTACACAAGGAATTAACAAGCAGTTTTTGTAACAAGCACTTCAGGACTCACTCTGCATATTTGTAGTGCCATTCGCCTGTGACTGAATCCTGATCGAACAGCTTGCACGTCCACTCTTCACCCTTAAGTTTCCTCTCTTTGGCACTCCTTCTCTGAGCTTCTTCCAGAATGTATTTCTCTTGAGTAGCTTCTGTTTGGTCTTTATTATTTATTGCTCTTGTCACTTGTTGCCAAAGCCTGACAAACAAGCAAAGTAGTGAGTTATGGTTGACAGAAATAATTGGAAACATTTCCTTAGTTATAGGTTAAATAAATGGATCAACCTCTAAAAAGAATATTACCATGTTGTAATACATGTTTTATCCACATTTCCATCAAGACTTTCCATGACTGCAAGGTTTGTAAATAATAACCCTGTATTTAATAGTGTTGCTTTCTTGTTTTACAGGCCAATAACAGCAAACATGGGAAAGAAATAAATGATAATCTGTTCATAATTTGGAGAAGATCATGGGTTTTGTCAAAATAATTATACATGGTTCTAAAGCGAACTTACTTCTCTGATTCAAAGTCATCTTGCTCTTCAAACTTCACTGTGTATCTAGGTAATCTACGCTGCTTGATATCAGATGTTGGGTTCCAAAATGTCTCTGAAACATCTGTCTTCTTGTCACTAATAGTAACTTCACTGTCCTGTAAAATATATAACTCAGTTATGTCAATTCTAATAATTTCAAAGAGCGCCAAAATAATACAAAAGGGAGGAAAAAGCTTTTTACTGGATGGCTGTAGTTAAGAACAATTGGATATGGTAACTTTAAAATTCAGTTTCTGCAGTCTGTACTAGTTCTAACTTGGAACAGAGAGGCAATGAACCAGCAATGCCAGTGTTGCCTAACCAGAACCTAAACAAGTTTTAACACTTTGTGCTGGTGCCATAACCATTCTTCCTCGTACTAACATATATACTAAAAATGTTTCACAAGCTGAAATGGGTTTTCTTAACTACCCAAACAACTTTTCCACCTTTGAACAACTGCAAATTATAATACGTTGATTCTATACTTCCTTGAGAATGAACTATAAAGAGATACTTTCTATAAAAGTGGCACTTAATCAACTCCTTTTTAAAGATTTAAGTCTTTTTTTTTTGTAACTAAGTGCTATTTCACCTGTCTCAACTAGCAGCCAGAATATAAAGTCTCATCAATCACTACTTACCCAGTGACCCTCCAAAATAGCCAGAACTTCTTTGCCAAGCTTAATTTTCCCTGATATTTGGTTAACACTGTCATTGTTACCCAAAAAAGGCTGCAAAACAAGAAGAAATGCTTTCATGTTTATTTTAATACAAATTTATTTTTGCATTTATGTTTGGTATTAAGGAAAAAAAAAGAAAAAAAAAAGCCCTAGTGGCTTTTAATATTGTAACTTCTGCCTATTTAATCCCCAAAACAAGTCTAAAACCACAGTAAGTTGTCCTCTTATGCTCTATTCTTAAAGGATTTGCTGAGCAGAAGCATTGCCTAAGAAATGTGGTAATAGAACAGAAAATAATGCAGAAAACAATGACGTAACGGTATCTTAGAGGGCATAGTCATTTGCTACACTGATCTCACCACTTTGCCAAGGATCATTTGTTACTTAGAGATGAAGCAACAACAGAATTGACTGCCTGGGATTTTCTTTGGCCTTTTTGATGACCTGCATATGTATTCTGTGGACTGATGAGGCAAAATATCAACACAGCCTCCTTTTACATTTCCCCTAATATTTCAACTGAATACAGCTTCCCCCTCCATATGCACACTTCTTAACAGCTGTTTGTTCAGCTTTAAATCAATTTCTGCCTCAAAGATGGCAAATGTATTTTCAGAAGCGCAAGCCATCTATAAGTAGTTTAGAAAGCTTTATTTAGCTTTTGTGAGTGGGGAGATGTTCCTACAGCACGCACAGCTGCCAAAAATAATCCATACAAACTGTTGCTTAGCAATGGGCATTAGGCTGCCATAAATGTTAGCCAAAGCCTTTGCATCATCTTTATTTGAAGTGTCATGAGCAACTGAAGTTTACCCCCGACAGAAGAGGGGAACGTGGGTCTGAGTTCTCCTCCAGCAGCTCTCTAGGAGTTTAAAAAAGACCCTGAACGTGTTTAGAGAATTAAAAGTCACCAAGGTGTATTAACAACAACACACAAAATACCTGAACCACTGATTAGATCACTCCTCTTACACTTTCTTAGACACACACAGTTTCCACTGCTGGAGATAAAACAGACCTTTGCTTTTTCCCCTGAGTAGTGGTGCTCTTAAGATTCATACCACTAGCAGTATGCTTGTATCTCCTATCACCAGAGATGAAGACAGCACTCTTGAGTTTCAGACAAAACCTTTCGACCCAGAAGAGTACAATATAATTCCTCTTTCAAAAACAATAAAATAAGAAAATCACTATTTGCTAGATACACATAGCTGGATATGTAGCAGTTCAAATGAAAATTTCTCAGATTCCAAAAAGACAATTCCATATTAAATCAGATTATATGTAAGGAGTGACCTAATTTTTATATACATATTTTGTTTCGTTCTCATTATACTCATTTGCCTTCTTGTGCCCCCTCACAGCATTTACTAACCTTGAGTTTGAATTCAATTGTTGCACTGTAGCCAGTTTTCTCACAGGTGATGTTGACTGTTCCCCCAAGCTCTAAGGTCATTGTGCCATAAAGAATTCCTGCAAGAGAAAAAAAACCAGTTAAAATTAATGTTTATAGCTGAACAAGATAAAAACCCTAAGTTCTTTGGGCACAATTCCTAAAGTAAACATGTCTGTGCCAGAGGAAAAAATCATCTTTTCAGATGACCTTTCCTAATGACAAGCATGATCTTTCTGCCAAGTAAGATAGATCTTTTTGTTTCTGTTTGGGTTAAGTGAATTACATATAAGCAGGAAAAATGGTTTGAGATATATGTTTGGCATTGTATGCTGCTGGCTCTAGCAAGGGTGGTATTTAGTCTTACTGGAGGTGATTGGAGGAAGGAAGCTTTTGAGGTGGAGGCTGGCAATTAACTCTGTGACAAAAAGAGCAAAGAAAAACTTCACTTTAACAGGAGCAGTATGCACAGTCAGACCACGGGTGATGACAATCATGGACAGCCTATATATGACAACACTGATCACCTCCCTGAAGACTTTTGGAAGCACCAGGTTGGCAATGCTGAGTACAATTTCTTTCCCATGGTTGCCATCTTTCCCTCTGCCATCCAGTGTTTAAACCACGGAATATATTTTACATACAGGGAATGCATGTGCAAATAGGTTTTTCTTCACCATGCACGTCATCCTTTCCTCCATATTCTTCTTTCTCCCTCTTGATCTACTTTATTAGTCACACTAGTCCCCCTCCTTGCTGTTTAACTTGAATGTATGTATACGTTATGTGCTTTTTAACTGTTGAGTATTATTTTTGTCACCAAAGCCATAAAAAAAATCTAGAGTATTAAAAACTCCATGAGCAATGGAAAGAGAAGAGCTTACAAAATTAATGTCAAATTACGTAATTCCACTAATTGATTTTCATACATCTCAAAAGAAGAAATTACTATAGGTGCTGACTATAAGGCTTCCAGAAGAGAATCCTGGCAGAGAATATATGTACCTGAATAAACCTGTTGAAAAATCAGCAACTCTGCAATGTATATTGTACTACCACTGACCTTCCAGAAAGCTTTACGAACTACTGACTGGTTTCCCACTGTGAAACTAAAGACAAATGGTCAGTGTTCAAGGCCATGTTGGACAGAGCCTTGGACAACATGGTTTAGTGCAATGTGTCCCTGCCCATGGCAGGGAGGTTGGAACTAGATGATCTTAAGGTCCTTTCCAACCCAAACCATTCTATATTTCTATGGTTTATGCTCAAGTCACACAGTGAGGTATAGACACTACACTGCCTTTTATAAGAGGAAAACACTTGAAAAGATCAAAACTGTTCATTAAAAACAAAAAGGTAAATTATTGCCATGTAATGACAGATAGCTACATATATGCTCTTAATATTTATGAAAAATAAATACATATTCTTTCTGTGCCAAAAATATCTATCACTGCTTAAATAACAGATGTATTTTCCTCCTGATAAAAGATGTGGCAGCCTAGAGCCAGCAACGTTGCGAGTGTTCAGAACACTCAGGTGACACTGTCAAACTCAGCACAGTATATATGTAGAATAATGTACTATTTAGAATAATAAACTTCTGTTTTCATAATTTTTCTATCCAGAGAATGAAAAAAAAAATTAAAACTCAAAGCCCATTACCTTTACAGTGAGCATATGGCATTGTCATTACATAATCTTCTCCCCTGTTTAGGAATGTTAGCCTTCCTTCTCCATCTAGAATGGCAGATAATGAATTCCCTGAAATTCAAAGACAGAATATCACATTTCTCACCCAGCAAGACAACAGTGAACATTTCATAACAACCGAGCAATAAAATTAAGAACACTAGTAAATTTAGCACTGCAACATATCTTGTCTAGTGAAAACACTGTAATACACAGCTTTTCCAATTAAAAATTAAAATGATCCAAAAATAGAAATTACAATTCCGAAGACCAGTAGCAAAAATCTTTTAAGGAAAGGATAATACAATGATCAACCCCCTGACTCTTCTGACAGCCTTCTCTCATCCACAAAACATGTCATTTGCACAGATTTTATACTCCTTAATAAAGGTGCAAGCAAAAAAATACTCCATTATTTACCATAGAATTTTGATTTGGCCAGAATGCTACCACTAAGGCAAAAACCATCCTTGCGGTTACTAACATAGAAGGCAGATATTGGAGGATGATGTGACACCTGTTGGAAAACACACATATTTGAATTGAATTAGAAAAAGAAGAAAAAAAGAACATGCAATATAGCATAATCCTTGAGCTAATAATGACAGAATGCAAAATTCAGGCTGCACGTGACAGAATACAGTTAATATATGTGAAATGTGACTATAATCTTTAGAGATAAAGATCAAGCAAACACGTACTCAATTTCAAAAGCGAAGGTAAGTAGCACCTGACTTTTACTATAGAAAGAGGGAACAGAAATGCTGGAAACATCTTTCTCTTTGTCTTTCTAGGAAGACACCCTTAAAAGACACATCTGTAAAAATCCTAGTCTCACCAGGACAGCTTTTAGGATACAATCCATATGTTTAAGTCCATTTTTTGAAACCACCACATCACTTGACTACTACAAAAATTGCAAAATGTTTATTTTTCTTTAAAATATTTCTTCCAGTTATTGCAGCTACCTGTTCTGCAATGTAAAACGTCTTGCTATTCGTCCTTGGATGAATCCACATGCAGCGGAAAGTCTCACCAAGTATAGGATTGTACGGCTTTTTTAGTCCCTAAACAATAGAACAGAAAGTAACTATACAATGCAGATACAGAACTCAAACTTCATCAGTCGGTCACTGAAGATAAGACACAGAAAAAATATAACCATGGCATGTACGCTAAAGTATATTGTACTTGATTTCATCATTTGAGTAGTATGCTGATTTACTCTGCTCCTCGCTCTAAGGTAATTGGCATAGATTTAGTCTATCTGCTAAACTATTCCAGGCTACACTTAAGGACAAACAGAATATAAGGTCTTTTTGTAGGAAAATTATTACAGACCTTTGTCTGAAGTTGGGTAGTGAGTACTTTCTTCTTTCACTACCATTTCCCACTAAAGTAACTATAAAGAGTATTTAGTGTAAAGCTAAATGAAGTACTGGAAATATTCATTCTCCAGCTGCAGCATGTTATCACGGGAGAAGCATAAACATAGAACTGGCTCCACTTTATCACAAAGTGTTTAGTTCAACTTCTACTCCAAGGGAAAAAACCCAACTGAATACAGTCTATTTTAAGTATGGCTAGGGACCAAAAATGTCAATATACGTGAAAAACGTAAAGTTAACCGTGCTTTTAAAAAACACCTAACAATATAATTTAAAGAGAAAACTTACTCTACCACATCCCTCATCCCTCAAACCAGACACAATGACTAAAGTAAAGACAAAATAATAAGCGAGAGGATACCTTTGGCTTTTTGTAGAATCCTGACAAATACCACTTCACTACTTTTTTCATGCGGTTGTAAGCATTCTCTTCAAGAGCAGCTCTATGAAACAAACAGAACATACATCAAATATCAGCATTGTTTAAGTTATGACACATGTATCAATCATTGTGATGTATCTTGAATCTAGGAGCTGACTTAAAAGGTTTATCATTTGCGGTACTGTAAAACTTTCAGCCTGAGTGCTTCACATTCACACTTCTCAAATAATTGACTGAAAATGGAAATAAAACAAAACCCAATAAATGGTATTTCCATAATTGAGTCTGTCCTTTGTAACATTAAATCCTGTTCCAGTCCCACTGAAGTTCTTCTATTTATAAGATACTCCTTTAGAGAACTGGCCCACTCATGTACAGAACTCAGAGTTGAATAATATTTCAGTCCTTAACTTATTAGCTACATTCAAGGAGGCAACTATAAATCTGAACAGAACTTGACACTGTATTGAAAAGATTAACTGGTACGGTTTTATCCATTTTGAATATGCCTCCTAAAAAAAAAAAAAAAAAAACCCCAACAAAACCCAGAAAAACCTAATTTTGAGTAGTCTGCTATCCAGTCTCCAAAAGTTAAATCAGAATGTCTGTAACACAATTGGTATTAAATTACTAAGAGGGGCCAGACCTCAATACCATATGAGCTCTCAGACAGCTTTCAGAAAACAAGGACATCTGATGACTGATACACTGTCAGACAAACATTCAGACTCTAAGAAGTCTATGATGTTTAAGTACACCAGCTCAAATGTTTCCATACACACTGTTATCTCATTTTAGTTTACAAAATGAAAAGAATGAAAACCAGAGATAGGATGACTCACTCAGACAAAAAGTCTGCATGGTAGTAGTAATCAGATAGCTTGTCCAGGAAAGAACGAGGTTCCAAGATAAATGTAGGCAGTACAACCTTGGATAAGTCCATTCCTGGCCGGACTTGCTTCAGTAGTGTCCAGATCAGACTTTTGTTTTCTTCTGACACTACTTCTGTCTGAGCAGCTTCCCCAGCCTAGGATGAAAAAAAAACCTGCTTGCAGAAAGGAGAAAGGAAATAATCCTCTAGAAGACTGGTCAACACATTCTAAAGATGTAATGAGAATGGAAAAATTGGTACTTCAGATGAACCACTCAGAGAAGCTGAAGCAAATATGGGAGAAAAAAATTGAGTTTCTCTAAATACACTTATGATACATCTTTAATGACATATGCTAGATAATAATATTCAGCATTAAAAAGTGAATTTGTTTTCATCAACCCTAAAAGAAAAAAAAATGAGGTAGAATGTTGTTCAGAAATCCTCCCTTAGTCCTTTTCTCGCCATCAAGTACATTACCCTGTGTTCTCATGTGCAGGACTTCTACAGCAAATGGCTGTTAATGCTACCAACTTTTACCCACCATAGAAGTTGCCACATTTATGCTTTTCACTTGGCCAGTCAACAGTGTCAGTGGGTTTTTCCTTAAGGGAAAGCACTACTTAGGGGTAAGTATGCAAACCCAGAAGCCACACTCCAATGTGCTCCTTTCCATCCAAGAAGAGGGGAGATGTTCTTCCTTACAGTTTCTGAAATCAACAGCAAAGGTTGTAGGAAAAGCATCCCTCCTTCCAGAACAGTTCTAAAACACATACTCAAGAATTTACAGTCAGCTTCAACTCAACTTCCTAAATTACTGCTTTTCCTAGAAACAACAGTAGAAAACAATAAAGCACAAAATATTTATGTCCCATGGGTATGGAAAATAAAAATAACTAAAATCTTGTAATTAGCACCTGCGAATAAAGTGGAGATGTGTCAAAAAGCTCAACTCAATTTCTGTTACTAAGGTTTTTCATATCTTTAAAGAAAGTAAAATATACAAATCCCTGTCATATTTGCTTGCGTAGGTACGTAAGACAACCTGCAGAAGTGAAACAGCAACTCTGGAGCACCTTATCAGAATGCAAAGGGACAGCAGAAACACAGCAAGCCTTCCACTGAATTCTGCAGACCCCATGGGTTCTTAAACTCCTCTCTTGCAGTAGAAAAAAAAGTGTCAGCTTGCATTAAAATCTTCAACTTGAAGATTTTTACTTGAAGAAAAAACCAGAAGTTAATAAAAATGAGATCAAAATAACAACAAAAGGACAGGTAGGTATGGTCAACTTCTGCTGCATGTGGCCCCTTCAAACTGAGTACCTTCTGTCTGAGCAACATTCCAGATAATCTCATTATCTGTGTCAAAATATCACAGAAGCACAAGAGTGGCAAAGTAGAGCACAACACAAGTGAACAGAACTTCCCCTCCCAATTATTGCTGAAAATAAGAAAGCCAATCCTGCAAGTCAGTTTTCAAGCACAGTCTGACCCCTAAAATATCAGCTTTCTATATAGAGAAGCTGTTTGCTTGCTACATCAACAGCACTTTTACCTCCCCAAGTTCTTCATGACTCTGTTCTACGTAAGTAGTTTCCTTGATATCAATTGGTTCTGGATCAATGTAAGAATCATCCTGTCTCTCCGATGTGTCGCTATCGCTTTCTTCACTTTTCCCCAATCCATCATTATCAGATTCCTCGTGGTCATGGTCGTTTTCCTTATCAGATTTGTCAGAGTACATATCGTGATCTTTAAAGTGATGCCTTTCAACTTCACTGTCATTCAACCTACAAAAAAAATAAAGGCTATTGAATCTTCAGCTTCACACAGTAATATCATGTTTCCAAATCAGGATCTTAATAAAATACATGCTAAAATTGCCAGTATCAAGCCTGATCTAGCAGCAATGTCAAACTAGTTTCAGTGGAAACATGGGATGTACTATTCTCAGTGAACTGTCAACACGCCAAGTTTAGAATAGTTCCATTGGAAAGGACCCTCAATGATCATGTAGTCCACCTGCCTGACCACCTCAGGGCTGACCAACAGTTAAAACATGTTACTAAGGGCATTGTCCAAATGCCTCTTAAACACTGGCAGGCTTGGGGCATTGACCACCTCTCTAGGAAGCCTGTTCCAGTGTTTGACCACCCTCTCAGTAAAGAAATGTTTTCTAACGTCAGGTCTGAATGTCTCCTGACACAGCTTTGAACCATCCCCTAGCACTGGATACCAGTGAGAAGAGCTCAGCACCTCCCTTTCCACCTCCCCTCCTTAGGAAGCTGGAGAGAGAAATGAAGCCACCCCTCAGCCTTCTTTTCTCCAAACTAGACAAACCCAAAGTCTTCAGCCACTCATCACAGGCCACTCCTTTAGGCCCTTTCACCAGCTTTGTTGCCCTCCTCTCAACACATTTGAGGACCTTCATATCCTTAAATCCTGGGGTCTGGAATTGCAGACAGTACTCAAGGTGAGGCCTGTCAGCCTGACCTCAGTGCCAGGAAGGTCATGGAGCAGATGATCCCAAGTGAGATCACAAAGCACATGTGGGAAAACAGGGGGGATCAGGCCCAGGCAGCATGGGTTCATGAAGAGCAGGTCCTGCTGGACCAACCTGAGCTGCTTCTATAAGGTGATCCACTTAATACATGAGGGAAAGGCTGTGGACATTGTCTATTTGGGCTACAGTAAAGCATCTGACACTGTCTCCCACAGCATCCTCCTGGAG